GGTGACTGCCTGGCGACTGTCCCCAAATGATTCATTGGCAGGAACAAGCATGTGCTGTGTGGGAACTGGCCTTGTGTCAGCCTGGGCGCCTTTGGCATTTCATGTGCAGAACAAGCACATGTGGACAAGGCTGGCTGTACCCCACAAGCTACAAATACCTGGAAAGATTTCCTATACATGAGGGTCCTTCTTAGAGTTCTAATGAATATACAAAGTTTGTTCAGTTGGTTTTTCTGTTGTAGGTTTGGTTTGTTTGGTTGAATGGTTCTTGTTTATTTATTTTGGTGTGTGTGAGCATTCAGTTGAATGGCCTTCCCCAGCAGTCTGAGAAATAGGTCTTAAGTAGGCTTGGAGGAGGACAGGCAGGACTGTGGTGCTTTGGGCAGTCTGCTTGCTTGCAAATATCCTTTGAATCTGGAATGGTTGTTCATATTCCCAGTCTATTGTTGTTTATTTATCACAGCAAAAACAATAAAGTGTCTCATGGCACCTTAAAGCTAACACATTATCCTGGTATAAGCTCTCATGAATTTTAGCCCACTTCATAAGATGCATGGAATCCTGTTAGTTTTTAGTGCTTTTGTTAACTTGTGCTTCTTACATGATAAGCAGTGGTGTAGTAAGCCAGGGCTTGCAGAGCTGAAGCACTGGGATCTTTAGATTAGTAGGGGTTAGCAGGGTCCCCCCCACCGCAACTTTTTGAAGACTGCTTCAACAAAAACTTCAACACCCTTAAGTTTTATATTTTATTCCTCTCACTGGAAATATATCCAATATATCCAATATTTCCACTGGATATTCTCTAGGCTAGGAGTAATCAAACCAATATCCTCCAGGTATTTTGGGCTACAATTTCCACAGTTCCTGATTTGGGGCTGATCAGAGTTTTAGTTTGTATCGCAACACGCAGAATTCCATTTGACCAGTTGGATGGGAATTCTGGGAGTTGCAGTCCAAATATCTCTGAAGGCCACCAGGTTGGGGAAGTCTGGTTTAAAGCATCTGAAGGTTGCTGTAGACAGAGCCATCTGTTTACGATAGAAGAGCCTTCTTCTCCCTCCTCCTCCTCTTCCTCCTCCTTGCATTTATATTCCACCTGTCTTGTTTTATTTGCCATGGAAACCAATGTTCTCTTCTCCATTTTATCCTCACAACAATCCTGTGAGTTCGGTTAGGCTGAGAGTCTGTGACTGGCCCAAAGTCACCCCATAAGCTTGATGGCTGAGTGGGGACTAGAACCTGAATCTCCCAAGCCCAGCCCAGCACTCTAACCACTGTGACACAGTGGCTCTTACGTAGGGAGTCTCATAAGACAATCCCAAGCTAAGGATAAAATGCTGCATTTTTAAAGGCTGAAATCATTGGGGAAGTTCCTGTAAACAAAACAAAACTGTGTGTGAATACAGAGCATAAAATAGCAGATTGCATTGAGGCATGTTCTGTCACACCCACAGTTCTGCTAACAGCTTAAACCATGTAATAGAAGAATACAGTCAATGATCAGAGCTGAATCATAAGAGTGCAAAAAGTGAGCAAAGATCAGAGACTTGTAGAACAAGAATTAGGTTTGGTAAGGTAACATCTAGATGGTAGTGTAAACCTTTGACCTGTTGATCTCCTCAAGTTTTGATATGCTGACAGACTTAGTTCTCATCAAAACTTCACATGCAACAAACAGAGCTGGTGACAAAGTACTTCCTGAATGTGTATAACCAGTTTGCAGATTTTTTGGGGTGGGAAGGGTCATGTTTTGAAGTTTCCTTCATGCAGATGACTCCCGGCATGTAAAACAAAGCAAAACCTAGCTTATTTTAGCCTTTGCTGGCATCCCAACTTGTTGAAACCCTTGAGCTTCTGCTAATCAGTACTGGGCAGTACTGGGCAGCTTCCTATGTTTCTAGTCTGATCACCAGTGTAAAGCAGGCTGGTGACTGTTGTTTATTTTATGTAAAGAAAGCTTTAATCCAGGCTTCCCCAATCTGGTGTCCACCATGTGTTTTGGACAGCAACTCCCTGTCTGGAATGCTGGGATTTGTGTCCCACATGCCTGCAGGGCACCAGACTGAGGGTAGTTGCTTTAAATCATTAGAAGACCACAGTCTCTATTTTGGGAACTAAAAGTTTGGGCAAATTCACCGCATTCCCTTGGCAGGTTTCCTGAATGGTTACACCTTGCTGTTAAAACATGTGTTTCAAATTGGAGTATTACTAGTTTTAACTTCCTGCTCTCAGGACTTTTTCTGCAAGGCTGCTGCTACTTGAGGACAAGCAACCAGCACAATGCCAAAATTAAGCCATTCCTTAATGATGCATAACTCATCAGCTCTGGTCTGTGGTGCACTGGCAAAATTGGTCACTCTGGTTTTCAATGGTGAGATTCTACTGTTGAGAACGTGGCGTATGCTGTGTTCACAACCTGATCATCAGGTTGGAGCTGAAAGGCAATGTTGCGCACTAGTGGAAATCCCACGGTGGCATCCGTGCACAAGACTCTGTGCTGTGTGCATCTTTGCCAGGAGGGGGCAGTCAGTAATGCTGGAATGTCATAAAATCCACCAGCCGCAAGAATATATTCATTCTCAAAGTAGTCGGCAAGCTTTTGAGTTCTCCAGAACTCTTCTCTAGGCTAGATGTTAAGCAAACCAGGAAAACAGGCGGGCATGATGAACAATTTTCAGAATTTGCAGTTTATAACATTCCTGAAGATGAGTATAGGAGGTTTTATTCAGGCTTTTGCTCCAATTTTACATGCACGTAGCTGGGATTAAGTCACAGTGAACTTCATGGGATTTATTTTCCAATAGATGTGCATAGTTGTGCATTCTTAATTAGATTAGGGTTGTGCCAAGAGCTACTAGAACCAAGAAACAACAACTGTTTTCCAGGGGAATGTTAAAGCCAACAGTTACTCAAATGTGCCTTCAGCACTAGCAACATTAATTAGTTCTTGGAGCAGGAGATAACAAAAGGTGTGTCAGCAGGTGTGGTAGACTTTAACAAAACTGGAGATTATTATAGACCCGCTGCTTTCACTTTTGCTCTTGAGTCCCAGCTTTACATGGTAGAAGGTAATCTTTCAGTTTAAGATCCCTCTCCTGGTCAGCTAAGTGTGGTATTCTACAAAACACACTGCCATTTCCTCTGCGCAGAAGCACCCCCCTCCCCAGAAATGGCCTGGAAGGTGGACTTTGCTGCCAGATTAAAAAGCCCATGTCCCACATTTAATTTCAGTTTAATAAAATATCATTTGTGCATTAGTGCAATTATTGATGTCTGCAGGGCTTCATAGACTGAATCCTCCCTCCCAGAGCTGCGAATCCATTCCAGAGATGGTTTTAATCATCACTTTGTATCCTGCTGCAACTGCTTTTACTGAATCTAAAAGGCATGCCTGAGAGCCGGGGATATCAGAAGGGCCGGTGACTCTCCTGCCTTGTTTTATTTGTCATGGGAACAAATGTGCTGTACTGCTGCATTGATAATACCTTCATGCACCCTATATACCAACATCCAAGCCTGTGATTTCTATTGTAGTATTTGGGATAGGAGGGAAACTTGAATTCTAAACTTGCTGGATGCATCTACAACATGGAGCAATGAAGTGCCCTGCAGGCTGTTACCCTTATGACCAGGTGAACTGTGTGCGCTAAATCAATTTTAGCCTTTGCTTGAGAGTTACAAGCTCCATTAAAAGATAATAGTGTGACATCACCTAGTCTACTCATAGTTCATAATGAATCTGGAGTGGGTGTGAGGGAAGAGATAAATAAACTTCTGTTTGTGCCCCTTTAAAAGGAAATTAAAATGTTAGGACAGAAGTCCAAGCTAGCACAACAGAGGTTTGCTTAACCTTCCAACCAATAAACTAAAAGCAAAAGTTTCAACTACTGGCAGATAAATGGTAGCAAAGGTCATTTTGTTAATGTTCAAAGGCTACAGAAGCACTGACTCCTGGACAGGTACTGTGGAAGACTGTTCAATTTAGTATTACAATAATTAGAGAAGTTATCAGCTGGCATGGGCATGGAGGGGAAGTTGCCACCATTTAAACCATCAGAAATGGAAATATCCAGCAGGCATCTCTGAGGCTTCCACAGCATAATTCCAGATAGTGGTAGGAATGAATGCACATGTTGCAGAAATAATCCCTGTTCTCTAGCTAAAAAATGTAGCACTTATAGTATCTTTTGCAATGGTATAACATCAATGAGGAATACCTGGATCACATGCAACCCATGAGAATTGTGTGTTCATTGTGAGCAAAATCAATTGAAAAATGTGCAAGATTTACAGAATCCCCCTGTGAAGCAGACCACCTTCAGACAGGTTGGAGTATGAATTTGAGGAGGAAACCTGTGAGATGAGACCAAAGGCCTACTGAGTCTTTTTTCTTATGGCAGCCATGGGTCATATTGAGTGGGAATTATTGTGATATAGAGTAGAAATTTTCTGTCTTCTCATAGCTTTGAGTCATTCTACACCTGTTTGTTCATGTAGTGTTGCTGTGATTAAACTTGCCGGGAGCAACTTCCTTGGCCAGCCTCTTCCACCCAGGTATCCTTGAGGTTATTGGTTTACAGATCCCATCATGCCATAACTGGAGTCATAGTCTAACATGTCTGGAGGGCACTAAGTTAAGGTTCTTGTGATCAAGATTGCCATGGAACAGAGCACTTGTGCTACAGAATTTTTCCCTCCAATGCAAATAGAAAGTACTGGAACTTGTCCTATCCTGAAACTGGCAGCCTTTGAAAAATCTGCCAGCCTTAGAAGAATCTGTTCAAAAATTGTAGAGAATAAGACTGAACAAATAGTGGTGCTTGCACCGTCTCTGCATCTTATTAGGCCTGGTGCATACATCCTGATTTTACAGTCTCAGGATACCATTCCCAAGACCTGTGATCTTATTTCTAGGAATGCTGAGTTTAGGACTCCCTGCCTGAATTTGCCTTCCTTCTACTTCTAGCCCTCAAACCTTCCTTTCTACTCTCTTCCTGCAGCTCACTGGAGATGACGTGTTATGACAGCGATGAAGCCAATCCACGCAGCGTGTCCAGCCTATCAAACCGGTCTTCTCCCCTCTCTTGGCGCTATGGCCAGTCCAGCCCACGGCTGCAGGCTGGGGATGCCCCATCGGTGGGTGGGGGCTGCCGCTCAGAAGGCACCCCCAGCTGGTACATGCATGGGGAGAGAGCTCATTATTCCCACACGATGCCCATGCGCAGCCCCAGCAAGCTCAGCCACATCTCCCGCCTGGAACTTGTGGAGTCACTTGATGCAGATGACGTCGATCTGAAGTCTGGGTACATGAGCGACAGTGACTTAATGGGCAAAACAATGACTGAGGATGATGATATCACCACAGGGTGAGTACTGCTCTCAGACACCATACATACAGCTCGAAATAAACTGCTTCACATCAGAAGTGGGCCCGGGAAGATTCCTGCAGCAGCTTCAGCTGAAATACCTTTGTCAATCTAAGATGATTTTGTCCAGTCTAGCTTAAGCAGCTCTCTGATTCTGAAATGGATGGGGCATGTTTTCTGCTCCCTAGATTTGAACGCACTTGGCAGAAGAAATAACTTTTTGCACCAAGTATATTCAGTATGATACATGGTCACACTTAGCTTGCTACCAAGAGCATACCAATAGTAGCATAAAGCAATTGTGAACTGTGATGAGATGCTGCATCATTGGGGACTGGGTTGTTCTGGAAGCCTGACATACTTATTGTGCTTCTACAAAAGGAAAAGCCAGTTTCAGCTTGTAGCAAGCTGGTTTTACAAAGCATGCATTTGTTATTGACTTGAGGCAAGCAGGTTCTGTTTTGCAGATGGATGAGATGGGAAAGCTTCAGCTGGATCCTTGTAAGCTATGGACAGAATTTTCAATCTGCATTCACTAGGTAGATTCTGAAGGAACAGAGAAAGAAGGGGCCATGTTGCTGGCTGACAGGCTAGCAGATAGCAAAGGATCTATATGGGGATGAGCAGTCTGCTAGAAAAATCTCGGGATTAAATGTTCTCCCTGTAGCGACACCAAGGCCCACCTGGAATGGATGCCAGAGGTGCAGGACCTCAGGTGCGGAAGCTGCAGCCAGCTCTCTCGGGGTCCCAGTCTGGCTATTCAGGGTTCTGAGAAGGCCAGGCTTCATTCTCATGGCCTTGCCCACTTTTCCTAACCTCCAAACATTGGGTTTCTTTTTGGTTTTATTGAGATCCTTCTTCATTTTTAAAGGTTGAACAACATTTCCTTATGTTCGGTCACTGGCCACAATGGCTTTCAGCTAAAATATGCTTCTGTTTTCCACCCCATCGCTGAAATGCGGCTCCTGAAATCTTTCCCAAAATGGGACTTGACCCTCAGGCTGCTCTGTACACCAGCGGTTTGCTGTGCTTTGCCTCCCTTGACATGAGCCCCTTTCACTGGCAGGTCAGTATCAAATGTCTTCTAGATGCAATGGGTGTGTTTGCACAGTATGCGAAGCCATCCTGCAAATAAGTCACACAATGTGCTTTCTTCTGTTAAAGGTTTCCCTGACAGGTGACTGGGCTCATTATGGCTTGTTTTGCCACTCCTTCCCCCTCAGTCCTCCAGCTGCTATCCCAGTGTCCTTCGTGGCAGAACCCCTCATCTCCCTCTCCCTGTTCCAATTGCTACAGTTTTTTTCCTTTGGCACTGTTTACAAACTATTTTTAGACACTTCAGAAATGAATTTGGGGTTTATTTTATTATATTTTAGGCCCTTGAAAAATATGTAACTGTCAGTCCTTTGCAGGTGCTCAGGTACTTACTTTGATATGTGTAGGCTTGCCTTGTCAGGGTCCTTGTAAATTTCAGCTTTCAAAGGAAAGTGGAATGGAATAAGTTACAGATTAACAAGGGGAGATGGCCTTTAGGCCAATTCACACACCTCCGCTAGCCCTCAACTGCCTTCTTGTCAGTGGGAAAGTAAAAGGGAAAAGGCGGTGCCGCAAAAGGGAGCAGTGGCAATATCATCCCCATAGCAATGTGATCCTTTGGTTTTTAAGGCTGAAGTGACAGTTCTTGGTGCCCTCCATCTTTTTGGCACATCGCTGAATCTCCAGCTGCTCCAGAAAGGGGAGATATTAATTCCACATACAAATATAGTTTCCTGCCCAAAGCATCTTCTAACCAAGGGAATCTGATATAAGAAAAGGGGGCAGCCTCTGTGGGGCAATGCCCAGGATGGGTACCTAGTGGACTCTGCCAGCACCCCCCTCCCCTGCACATTGCCCACTCAAGGCTCCCTCTCCAGTGCAACTCTGCATATTCACAGCTGTGTAAGTGTGGATAAACATTTATAATTTGCACATATATTTGCCAAACATATGTGGAATAAAAACTTTTAAATAAAAATGTTGGGCTCTCTGAAGAGATAGTCCATAGCAGCCAAAATGGGAATTGCAAAAGCAACAAAGTTTAAAGTGGGGAAAGCTGTGCTAAGTTGAAATGGCTCACAATTGTGTCAGGAAGATAACTTGGGCCTCTCCGGTGGCTCTTAGGTTATCTGTAGGACGACTGAGAGGGAAGGTGGGGCAGATAGGGGACCAATAATCCACCATGCGCCTGATTGGCTGTCAGATGCACCATGGGTTGTTTGCATGCCAGCCACCCACTGTGGCTTGTGACCAGTGAATCTGCTTAATCTTTTCATTCTACTTCACTTCCTTGAAAGGATTCCTTAGTCCTGACAACCCATGAAGAAACAGTCTCCTTGGTTTGCATGATGTGCCAAACAACCCCTAAAACAAACCATGGGTTGTCAGGAGGAGTTGTTGCTGAAAAATAAGCCATCCTGCAGGAAGTGCTCTGGGTCTAGAGGATACAACAACCCAATATGGCTAATTACCACAATGCACTGCTGTGCTATGAAAACTCAGTCAATGGCCCTAGATATACCTCTTAAAAGTATGTTTTCAAGACAGGAGATCGGGTTAAAAACACAAACAGAGGATTTGATTCATTATTAGTTTTCAGAAAATGTGTTTGTTCTGCTTTTGATTCTGCACTGGTAATCTACTGATTTTTCAAGTCATCATAATCCTAGAAATTAAACACATTACTTGAAGAGATGTTTCTTTCTATGTCATGTTTTAGGAATAGCTTATACAGCAGCCAGTTATCTTGGCAAAAACAGAGCTGCTCTGGTTATACTTTATGAATTCTGACTAAGGATGGTGGTAAAATCCTAAATGTATTGAAAAGCATTTGCATTTCTACAAATCTAGCCCATAGAATCCTCAGCAGATCAGATTTTTGCAGAGCATTTCTAACTTTCTGAATGTGTATACAAATTTACTTGGGTGAAACTACAAAGTTGCTGGAAAATACACTAATATATACACCACCAACCCTGCCTCCCTTATCCCATTTGTGTATGGTCTGCTTATTGATTGAATATTTTTCATTTCAGAATTCAGAATGTTATATGCCAGCAATTTACAGTTCTGTAAATTATAGCAAATATTTCTGAATATTTTTCTGAAAGAGAAGAACACCCATATGTGTGAATGAGTGAACAGCAGAGAGAAAGACACCTGTCCATTTTCAAAATGCAAAACCTTTAAGATTTGAGAAACAGATGAAAGAAAATCCATACATTGTTACTTCTGACAATACTTGCTCGTTGACCAAAAATAAAATTTTCCTGGGCAGTCACTTCATATTGCTCCTAAAGCATAGACTTGATCAGGTATCACCTTGTTATATTAAATAAAAATCTGGAACTGGACCTAGCACCCTCTGTGTGGTTGCTGGTCATCAATGGGAAAACTTGCCTTTGCCTTCAATACTGAAACAGAGGAAGGGGACTCGGCCATTGTAGCGTTTCCCTACTCTTTCCCTTTACTTAATCCTCCTTCTTAGAATATTATGGAAAAGAGTGACCAAGGAACTAGCACAGGAAAGGGAAGCAAGGCAGTGGCATCCACTCTAAATTGTGAGCTGGCAGTCCTATAGCTTGTCAGAAGTATTCTATACACGGAGGTTTAACTGTAACTTTTCATGTTAATAGGACTCCAGCTAGATCTGAAATGGAGCAAAAAAGATCTAAACAGTAATTCTTTTCCAGCAATGCAAAGCTAAGCTCTTTAGTAGAGTCATTACACAGCATAGCTTCTCAGTGTGCTGTGATACTTGTTATTTTTCTATAGATATCCTGAAGGATCTGACCCTGTCATTTACTGAGCTCTCATTCCCACTCAGTTGAAACTGTGTTGGACCTGGCATAAGCATCTCACCAAGGCCAACTTTAAATGACATAACCTTTTAGCACACTGTAACTCAGGCAAAACTGACCCAGTCTGTACAGTGAGATAATCAAAGACAAAGAGGATTGTATACAGTTTCTAATTTACACACACACACATCCTAACTGAACTAAAAGAAGCCAAGTGGGCTCCAATTTTGGATTAGCTAGCTGGCAATTCAGAGGGGAAAAATGGCATGGCCAACTGACCATTTTAGAATGGATTTGGAAAAGTAATTTTATTGGGAGTGCTTCAGTTAACATGTTTAGGTGGTTCTTTCTAAACTGTTCCTGAAAACCTCAGAAGTCTCCGGAATCTTTAGTGTTGACTACAGCCTGAATGAACTGCTAGCAGGAGATGTCTTAAGTCTGGCTTTATATGTTCCCATGAGGGGTCATTGCATCCCTTGGTTTCTGCAGATTTGTCAATATTTGGGTGCATGCCATAGGTTGCTACACAGTCCTATTCTTGTTAATTTGAATATTATACTCTGAATTGTTGGGTTGTTTGGAAATGAAGGGCCTTTGGCCTTGTTTTCATTTGGTTATTCACCTCCTGCTGCTTAGGAGAGATGGAAACTCACAGAGTGAGATATTATGTCATGAGTTTTCCATTTATCATTGGAAGGATTTTAAAAGTCCCAGAGCTCCATCAAGGGAAGGGGTGTAGACTTGGGCCTAAAAATACTCACATGTCATGGAAAGCTACTCTAGAGAGTCCTTGTTAATGCTACATCTCTGGTCTGCAGATGTGTAATTGTGACAAGCCCCCAGTCCAGCTGTGAGGCCTCTTAACATTGCTATTATTGGGATTTTAAAATAATGTGTTTTATTGCTAACGGTATAGATCTAAACAGAGCAGAGGTGGCAAAATTCATATGGGAAGATGAATTTGGCTTTTTTGGCTTCATATGGCTTTTTTCTTTTTAGGTAAGGTGTACTATCAAATTAAGGTTGCCAAAGTCTTTACTGGCCTAGGACTTTCAACAGCAGCATGCTATGTAGCAATGTAAGTAAACAAAGAGTTAGAAAAAATTAGGAACATGCTAGAGAAAACTTCACCTGCTTAGTTTTTGCATGTAGGCAAAAGTTGTA